TACACAATTTATTAATGTGTGTTTTAACAAGTGGATATCTGTCCCAGATTTTACCAGTATTACCAGTTCCATTTTGGTCACCCTACGCAGTCCTTTTTTACTAAAGCAGTCCCTCACGTCTTGGCCCACGTCTAACGTGCTAACGTTTCAGCAGCGCGCTTGGGATGAAGTGGAGGATGTTTAGAGGCATCCACACAGCGAGTAAGTCAGAATGAAAATCTTTATCAACCTGTTTGTTTGCAGAACTGTCAAAAGCAACACAAGCTCTGGGTCAGGACACAGGTCATCTTCAATGGGAAAGAGAATTCTCCGAATGGTAGCTTTAGCTCGGAGACCGCAGGGCCAAGCGAAGTCTACTCCTAGCGTGCGTGTGTATGATGTGGCCCAAGGAACAAAGTCCCCGGACACACTTGGCCACCAGTGCTCGCTCTGTGGCTAGGGAGCACTTCTCAGACAGGCGGTGGCGGGGTCATAAGCTGGGCGGACTCACGTTTTAACATTTAACTCAAAAGGACTTCAGGGAGACTTTGAAAGACATAAAGATACCATTTTTTATGTGATAAAATATTCTAATTTTATTCAGTGAAATTAATTTTGGTTATTTTAAAATTATGGTAGAGAGCGATGGAAATGACAAAGTCCCTGGATCTGAAAAAACTTTGCTCTGCTGATGGTCACTCTGGGATAGAAAATGAAAAGGTCAAGGGTGAAAGCAACATGATCAAAGGCAAAGGGGGAGGAAATCCATGAAGTATTTGGAGAGCAGCTTGACAAGCGTATTTTAGTGATGTGGGTAGAACATCTTAAACAGGGCAAAGAACATCTGAGGACATTACACTTGACTCAGAAGAAATGGGGGGAACTCGTGGGAGGGAAGACAAATTTCTAATATCTTTAAGCTGATTTCTAGCTTTAAGCTGATTAATAATAAGAATGAGGCTCGGACACACTGACGGCCCGCCACACCCCAGCTGATAAAGTAGCGCTGAGACCGGACCTGTGGTCTTTCCAGAACTCTTGTCTTCCACGACTTCACGCCCTGCTAATTAATTCTCAGGACGCAATGAAAGCAGTGCTTGGGGAAATCTATTCTGGAATTGTCGCGCAGGGAGGATTAGAAAGGAAGAAAGACGCAGGAAGCTCTGGAATTGACAGCAAATGGTACCACACTAAGGACGACCTGTGAGGTTGGAGGCGGCAGATAGACTTTCTATTTCAACTTACTCATTTTTTTTTAAGGTGAATGGGTCACATCAGAAAAATAAATGGTAAAAAAAAAAAAGTGTTTCCTGCAGAAATTCATTGAGAAAATTCTCAGAACTTCCTTATCAAAATTCAAATTGTGTAATCATCATTTTTTCTCACGTCTCACTGATCTCAGTTCAAACAACAGGGTCACGATGGCCCTCTGGAGAGTGGTGAATTAATCTCTTGAGGCTTCAGCGACCAATTTAGCATGTCCCCCCCAGACGGGTCTTCTCTGGTCTTCTAGCTGTATGTTCGCTAAGCCCTTCCTGATACGTGTACTTCCAAGTGATACATTTGACCGTCCTCCTCTGGGTTTTAATGAAGGCACTGCCTAAAACCCCGCCTGGTGGGTCCGTGTATAAAGGAGCATACAATCGGGAAGAAGTCACAGATTGAAAAAGCTCACAGGCGGTTAGTATTCTGGGAGCTGTAGAAGGTACAACCTGTGGTCAGAGAAGAGTGACTAGAAAGCCTTGACAAACTGAAAGTCACACAATTTTAAAAATTTGCTTTTAGGGAAATAGAATGTTTAAGCACATGCAGAGCGACCCAGGGGAAAATGTTTGAGTTCAAAACACACATAACATAGTGAAGGTCAGAAAGATAGGGAAAGGTAGCTTTTAAAATAAAATATTCTCAGAGCACTAGGATCTGATTTCTATTCAGGATAGAAGAGGTAGAGGAATTAAAAGAGGGGAGAAGCAAAGCAGTATGAAATGGACAAATGAGGTAGAAAATGAGAGAAGCAAGAATTCTCAAGTTACAAAGGCTGTTTAATCTGCAAGAAAAAGCCCGAGAGAACACTCTTCTTTTACTGCAAATTTATGGGCCCTTCCTTCTTCTAACTCAGCATCTTTACAAAAGGGCATCCTTATGAGCCGGATGAGCGTAGGACTGAATTTCCACACCAGGGTACTTCGGTCCAGGACATACGCTAAGCCAGCAAGACCGCTGGTGTCAGGAGCATCCCCAGGAAACCCGCATGGAGATGGAGTTGAAGATAAAAATGGCCCCAATTCCTCACTCCTCCCCGTAGCCCCCTCTTTTGCAGAACAACATCAGGGCTCCTCCTGGGGAGAGCGGACTCCATCCTCCGCTCTCGACTCCGGTCCGGTCCTGTGATTTGTTTTGGCAGAGGCGGTGCGGGGGACGTGAAGTGCCCGTGCTGGGCCTCGGCCTCAGGACACCTGGAGCATCTCTGCTCTTCCGCTCTGAATTCCTGCGGTCCCCAGGAAATCAAGCCTAAGCCGTTTTGTTAGAGGATCAAATACGGAGAGTGGAGTCGCCTCGCGCCAGCCAACAGTCACCCCACCCGGCAGAAGCTGAACCCCCCGGCCGACCTGCTGACCGGAGGAGACCGGCCAAGACCCGAGCCGCCCGAAGGCGCTCAGCCTCATTTCCTCTGAAACCAGCAGCAACAGGAGCCCCCGAGCACCGGTGTGAGGACAACAGGGCCGTAGCCAAGCCCGGGGCTCGTTCCAAGTGTGCCCGCCCTTCAGAAAGCCACCAGTCGGGTTTCCTCGCGCGGGGAAGCAGCCCAATCCACCCACAGCTGGGGGAGGGAGAGCGCCGAGGCCCCGCAGGGCAGGAAGCTGCTGAAGGAAAATAAAAACAACCGTCTCTTCCAGGAACTGAAGGGTGCCCCACCGGAAAGGAGTATGGCTGCCCTCGTGCCTCTGCTTCTGGGGAATTACCGTCTACTGATCTTAAATCTAGACACTGGCAGCCCCCTGCACTGAAGCGGCATTTTAGAGTTTAGATACCGTTTTATTTAAAGCAAACTAGGAACACAGGCAGCGCAGGTGCCGAGGCGCCCACTTCACGGGCAGAGATGCCATCGCAGGGCGCGGGGCAGGGCTTGTCGCACGAAGCCCGGGCCCAGCCACCCACACGCCCTGCCGACGACCGCACCTGCGGACTTCCGCTCCCCCTCCTGAGGGCCCTTGGGGTCAGCACTGGCGTACCCTTCTTCGGGAACGTCACTGAACAGATGAGGCACTCCTTCCTTTCTTGTAGAAGCAGGGATAACGTGGCGCACGTAGCTCAGGAGTGCTCTGGAGAGCGAATGAAATCACGTGGGAAGGGCCAGGGCCTGCAGCACACGGGAGCGCTCGCTGGGGAGGCTCTCCCTTAAAACCCTCAATCCTCCCAGCGCTGTGACCACCGCAAACGGTAAGCTCTCAGGGAGTTAGTGTAGGCAAATGTTATTTCTACGGTAGAAGCATTTATTTCGGTTATAGAAAAATAACACTATTTCAAAGTCAAGGTAACGAAACAGAAGTATATTTTCTCCTTAGAGGTCCCTACTCAAGTATCATATATGGTGTCAAGACATTCTTAAATTAACAAGGAACAAACGCAGAATCCAGGTCGTTTATCTGGCAAAAGAAGAGATGGATTAAAGCTACACTGTCAGCCCTGGAAATCAGAAACTACAAAGTGATCTCGTGCAGCGATTCTCAAGGTTAGTGTGCACTGGGACCACCTGGACTGTGGAAACAGCACCTGCGGGGGACTGAAGGCGAGCCAACAGGTTAAAAGCACGCCCTTGGACTCAGAACAGATACCACAGGGGCCGAAGATACAAACTTTGGTCCTCAGGGAGGGGCAGAGACAAAATACATCACAGACTTTCACTCAGTGTTCCTCCTCTGAGCCTCAGACCCAGGAATAACAATCAATACTACAGATTAGGTCAGACAGTGTGTGATAAGCACGTCCCTAATCCATTCACACACAGCTACTATCATCTTCTTCACCACCACCACCTGACACAGAGGACATTCTCCCCCTCTCCCTCCCCCACATAGCTGCTAAGATTTATTTAAAAAGTAACCACTGGTTGATTTCAAGCTCATGGACTACGAGGACCATTTCTATATTGGTACCATTTTTACTAGCTTCAACCTTCACTTACATTAAGATTTCAGTACATCTGGTTGAAATAACAACTTTTCTACCAAAACTAAGACCATGAATTCAAAAGAAAAAAGAGAACTAAACCTTACACAGCGTGTGTGGCTTCGGAAGCATCAACAGCTGGAGGAATGAACTGCTTTCCAAAGTGACCCATCTTGGACAATCTCTGATATTCCCTGCATTGTTTTCAGAGTCTCAGGTTACAGACAGAAACACGGGGATAAAATACCTACAATCTTCATCATTCCCTATGTTCAATATACTACACACTAATGTTACATACTTAAAGCTTTGGCCACTTAAGTAACTACCCATTTAAATATCTGAGGTTTTAATATTCTGAAACTATAAACCAAAGCTCTGGAGGTGCACAGTCAGGCCAGGAAAGGGTTTCTCCACCTCAGCAGTACTGCTGTGTTGTGTGGGATAATGTGGGGGCGGGGAGCCGGCCCGTGCACAGCAGGACACAGGTAGGCCCACTGGCCCCTACCCACTCCACGCCAGTAGCAACCTGCCCACACCCCGTTCTGACAACCAAAAATGTCTCCAGATGTTGCCAGAGGTCGTCCAGGGGTCAAAATCACCGCCCTGTTGAGAACCACCGAGCTAGAAGTTTGAGCTAGAATTTTACATAGACGTGTCAACTCTGCGCGCACAGATGAAACAAGACGCTATGTAATTTTACTAATTCAAAGAGTGCAGCACAAAAGTCTCCGCTATACTGTTCACACTGGGGCACGTCGTTTTTATGGAGTATGCTACTTAAGTATACAGTAACCCACACTTAACTATCTTTTTCCTATTGAAAACACGGACATTAAACAGGAAACAACCCAGAGCTAATCTTGCAACCATTTTTATAGTGCTGGATACAGAGAAAAATCTATGGTTTCCACACATTGGCTCAACAGGGACTGAGCTCCATCACTGCAAGTGTCCCTCCTTCTGAATTCGAAGTCTCTCCTTCTCTACTTGCAAGCGTTCCTTTTCAATCTGCAGCTTCTCCGACTCAAATTTCAAAAACTGCAGCCTATCTTTTTCCAGTTGTAAGCGTTCTCTCTCAAGTTTTAACTTCTCTGCTTCTATGTCCTGTGGCTGAAGCATGGCCTTTTCTCCTTGGCCCAGTTCGTTTTCCAGAGACGGCTTCTCGGAGCTGGCGATCTGGAGCCTGAGCTTCTCGCGTTCGATCTGCAGCCGCTCCTTCTCCAGCTGCAGCCGTTCATGCTCCAGATCCAGGTGCCGCAGCCGCTCCTTCTCCACCTGCAGCCGCTCCTTCTCCACCTGCAGCCGCTCGGCCTCGATGTCCAGGCGCCGTTTCTCCAGCTCCAGCTTCTGTTTCTCTATGTTCACCAGCAAATGGGGCTCATCGTAGGCCGACCTCGACGGTGTTGAGTTCAGAGTAAAAAACTCATCGATGTGGGGGAAGTCAGGAAGTTCGTTTTCCCTCCTGGAATCCGGTATGACGGAGGACAACATTTCTTCTTCCTCCTCAATCTCAAACTAAAAGGAAAAGGCAACTTTCAGTCTTTATTTCTACTTCACGGTTGTTACTTTGTCTAAACGTGTCCTTAAAAGTTTCTGTATCATTTGAGCAAAGAAAACCATTTCTTTTGAGTTTTGAAAAAATATTTATAAGGAATCACCTGGTGTCACTAATACAGTTGACCCTTAGACAACATGTAGAAAATATATATTTTTATATAAATATATAAAAGATATGTTTTATATATATATATACAAGCAAAACATTTTTGCTCACAAACTTTGCTAAACACAGTACAGTACTGGAAAGGTATTTTCTCTTACGATTTTCTTGATATTTTCTTTTTCTATAGCTTACTTTAAGAATACAATATGTAAGATATATACATAACATACAGAATACCTGGTCATCGACTGTTAATGTTATTGATAAGGCTTCGGGTCAACAGCAGGCTACTGGTAGTTACGTTCTGGGGTAGTGCAAACTTAGGGCTTTCTGCCTTGGGGGTGTCAGCGGCCCTGCCCCTCCCCCCCCGCCATGTCGTTCAAGGGTCAGCTGTGTTTCTCATTAAGAGAAGCATACTTAGGTTCAAAGAGAGATTAATGACATGAGGAGAAAACAAAACGGAATGACTGTGTTGGGTACTGCTTGTATGTGAGCTTGCCCCCTGGGAGCTGTGCTGTCCCTGGACCACCGCGAACTCCCACATCGGAGCTGAGGGAGTAAAACGGAAGGAGGACTCACAGGCCACTACTTACTTCGGGGCTCTGCGGATCTCTCTCTTCCTCTTCCACTTTGACCTCAGTTAAGGATCCACCTGCGTCCCGGAAATCCGCCACGTTCTGCCAGTCGAAGTTAGTATCGTTGCGGAATCCAATCTTTTCATCGATGTCTTCGGTGAGAGAGTCGTCCAGGTCGGACGTGGGAAGCGGAAACCCGGAGCCAGCCAGCTTCATGTTCGCCTTCAACCTCTTGCGCTTCATGAGCGCCCGCCAGTCCAGGTACCGCCGCTTCACCTCCGCGCCGGTCCTCTGCTCGCCCTCCCCGACGGCGTTCACGCACTGCGCGATCTCCTCCCAGGCCATCCGCTTCATCACGTTGATCGTGGTGTTGAGCTGCTTGGAAAAAATGACTTCTTTCCGTTTTGTAATTTCTTTCAAAAGGGTCTGAGTTTCTTGAACACTAAAATTGCTTTTCCTTTTCCTTTTCAACTGCTTCATTTTCCCAACTTAAATGCAGAGAAGATGTGAAAAGTTGGGAAATGCTACAAAGCACAAGAATCCAGGGCAACCCCTTGTGGGCACTTTGTTCACCTCAGAGTTTTCCGCTCATCTAGTAGCACAGGCAGCCTGGATGATTCCTAGAGACAAAGAAGCCAAACGCCATCAGTCCGCAGCGTCCACCCCGTGAGCCGTGCACAGGGTTGCAGGACAAGCACACACCTCCACTCTGGCTCCCACCGCCTCCCCTCACCTGGGCGGCTGCCCTGGCACCCGACCCCCACTTGTCACCCTGGGCCGCCCCCTGCTTCTCCACTCCCCGGCCATTCTCTCTCCTCTCACCGTGCTGGCCGGCTTCCCGGCACCCGTTGTCACCCTCCTCCCCTGTTCGGAGCCTCTGTGCACACAGGTCCCCTCTGCCCGGGAATTGGGCACCTAACAAAATGAACACCGTGCCTTCGCATTCGATCCCAATTCAGATGAGTGAACATTCTAGAACACTTGTAATTTTAAAGGATCACATTTAATTAGTACTCTGGCCTACCATTCCTTATGTAATTTAAATGATCAATGGGCTGGGCAAGTATTCAGCTTTCCTCTAGAGGCCACTGAATACTGAGGTACTAGATTCCCAAACTTTTAAATATATTTTTACGTATCTTTTTTATTTATATATATATATCATATTATCCTTTATATATTTATATAAAAATATTTATTTTCTATTTTCATATACTTATAGAAAAGGACTGAAGCAAACTGACTTATACATTGTTACACCAGCCAAATATGCTTCCTCTTAGGACCTATGTCCCAGCTCACTTCAGAGAATTACTGAAGTGAAAACTTGGCTTTTGCCTTCCTCAATCCATCTGCTTCAGCACTAGCGGGATCTGGGAGATGGAGCCCACTTGTTTCAAGGGCCATATCCTCAAGACATAACAATATGCCTAACAAACAGGAGGTACAAATACAACTTAAAATAAGGCGATTGGGGGATGGGAAAAGATAGAAAATTACACGAAGTCACTCAAGGAAGGTAAGCTACCAAAACTGAAACCTCAATGGGCAAAGCATATGATAACATAGGCAAGAATCAGTTTGTGAAATTAAGTGAAGCCTTTAAACTACCCACCCTTTGACTATGCCAAAAAATGTAAGAACCTAGTAAGTTACAAAACACTGTGAAAGAAAATTTTAAGTAAAAAGGCTCTGTTGCCACCATAATGATAAGTAAGTAGGTTATCAAAGACATATTTTTAGTAAGGAATCAGGTTAGATGTCCTTAAAAATAGAACAGAGAGCGAAAATAGTATCAAATTCCATATCATATTAAATACAATGTATTCATGGCTTTTTGTTTCCAAAAGATACAGAATGTTTCAGAGCATTTCAATAGCTTCTTGAACCATTTCAAAAGTGCCAGCATATTTTTAAGGTAAAAGCATGATAAAAATACAAATATTTGCCAAAATATTTACCAGTAGATGAGGATGAATAAACTATACCACACTATATTAGAGGATGGATATGGCTTAGCACATTATTCCTGTGTACATGTATCTTAGATTTCCAGACAGTTTTGGCATAATTATGTGAAAACCTTTGACATCTTCTGATTAATGTAAGAAAGTACCCAAATCAGTGCACCTTGAGTTGAAATTTGGTAGCTATGTTTGCATGGATAGAAGCTATGTTTCCAGGATCTTTTTTTTTTTTTTCCTGTTCTTTCCTTTATATTTTGATGCTTATCTAACACAGCTTGGGTTTCTGTCATCCGTTACCCAATCACTTACTCAAATATTTACTGAGCTCCTACTATGTGCCCGGCACATATTCCCAGTGCTGGGGATAGAACACCTCACATGACGTGAAAAAAATGCCATTTTAGATGTCAAATACTACCCCGTTTGTATCGGTTGTGTTCCCTGTCTTTACAGAGGGGAATTTGGCAGTTGCAACCTCTAAAAATCCATAGATCTTGCATGCCCCAACAGAGACAACTGCCATTTTCCTGAAATCCCAGCGGACAATCATTCCTTCCAGGCTGGAAATAGGTATAAGTAGTTCACTTACGTAATCCTTGTGAAGATGATGTACCACCAAAGGCACATTATTAACTGTGGGCAATTGTTTTTTTTCAAGGACTAACACTTGCGAATGAAGTTCCTAAATACTGTGTGATAAGACAGAATGAAGAGGTTGGAGGAAAATCAGGCCGTCAATAATGGGTCCCCTCCAAAAAAAAAAAATAATTTTTTTTTTTGTAAATTCGTTAGGCTGTTCAGAAAAAGAAAGCATCACAAAATATCCAAACTCCCCCAAGTCCCTCTCCTCCCCGCGCCCACATATTCTTATTCACTTCCCTGCCGAACAGGATGCTCTTCTCTGAAACTTGCGGTAGGTAACTAAGTGAAGTTTACTTAGGGGCCACCTGTTATCAGAGTGAAACGACGCCTGCCCCCCGGCCCCGCCGCCTTCTTTGGGACCGCCCGGAAGGGGCCGCAGGGAAGACCCGGGGAGACGGAGCTCCCGGGAGGCCAGCCAGGGGGAGGTGGCGCACGCCCGCCTCTGCCACAGCGCAGCGGCCGCACCTGCCGGCAGATGCGGCGACCTGGAAGGAAAGTCTTCCTTTCTGGATATTAAAGCAGAGTCCCGACTGGGTGCGCGGGAAACTTCCGCAGCCTGGATTCAGCGGCCACAGCCTCCCACCCGCCCCGGACGGGCTGGTACTTCTAGGAGCGTCGAGGTCCCGCTACGACGCAGACCCAGGGCCAAAGCCGGCCGCGGGGGGACAGCCACCTGCCGCTGACCCCCGCCGGGACCTCCCCCGCTGCGAGGGCACCCACCGTCCGCGGAGCTGCCGCCTCCTCCGGGACACACTCGCTCACCTGCGACCCCGGCGGCACCTCCGCCCGATCGCCTCTAAGGGGGCTAGGAAAAAAGATGCCTCATTGATTCCCCGCCCACTAACTTCGCCCGCCCCCTTGCCGCCACCCATTGGCTGATGCGGCTGCCACTCTTTCGAGACGGCTCATCCATTGGTCCGGGTGGTATTGCCATTCTGGCTGAGGGCCCGCCCCAGGGCTGGCCTCACAATGGGAATCGAGTCCCCAACCGGTTCCGGGTTAGTGCCCTGGAATTCCGCCCCCTTGCGATTCTCGGCCTCCCGCTCTGCGCTCGGGAGTTGGCGCGCGGCTCTGTCAGTCAAGTGGGCTGTAGAAGCCGATTGGCTTCTAGCGATCAGCCCGCGGCGCTGTTCCGTCTGATTGGGGCCCTGGCCGCCCCGCCTCCGAACTCTACCCCTGTCCTTGACCCTCACCTGTTAAAAGGGCGGAGAGGACGGGGACAACTTGGCGTTGCCCCAGCGGCCTTCGAACTCGCTCACTCCTTCTGCTCCACCAAGTGCGGCTTAGTTTGGCCTCAGCCACATACCGGTGATTTCCTTACACCTCAACTAGTCCTTATCACACCTGACTCCAAAATCACTGGACCTGTTGGCCATGTCGTCGTTGGTTCCGCACTCTGTGCTTTCCTCCCCCTCCGCCCAGTTCTCGGGGCCGGCCCAGGTTCTGGTGTCGCTGAGGGTCTGTCTGTGGGCCCTTCTCACCGCCGTCGCCAGGGCGGGCGGCTTGGCGTCCTTGGGCGCAGCCACACCCCTGATGCGAAGTGCAGACCCTCTGACCAAGAGTTGCGGCCGCTTCCCCCTCCGGCTTCGTCTTCCATCCACACCCCCGCCTCTCTCTCCCTCCCTCCCTCCTTCCTTCCTTCGCCCAGTTCTCTGCTTTCAGTCCCCAGCCGGGACAGTGGCCTTGGGACTTCGTTTGCACATCGCAGTCTTCCACCTAGAAGGGCTCCTCCCTGCCTCCTCCCTGCCAGCCTCGGGATTCGGGTTAGCGGTTCTTCCCGAAGGAAGCCCTTCTTTCTCTCCATTCCCCGGCCCCGCCTTCCAAGCGGTCTCTCTAATGTGGGTTTGCCCCATAAACGGATGCTCAGTTCCATCTCAAGTTCAGACACATAAGTTTGTAGCATAAGGGTTGTCCAAGGCAGTACGTGGCTTCCCGTATTTCTACTTGTTAAATCCTACTGCAGCCCTACTCCCGCGTGCTCCCATCACCGTGGGTGCCTTTCCTCTGGCAGCCCTTGTCACGTGGGCCCTGTGGGTGGGTCTTTCTTGTTCACCGTTGTCATTGGCTTAGCGCAGTGCCTAGAATATAATAGGCACTCAGAAGAGATTTGGTGAATAAATAATGGAACATTCCGGGTGAATATTCCTGGAGGAACTCTCTTCCATAAAATAGGAAGACCTTATGAAATAGGCTCTTTGAAATGTGATGATCAGTTTAATCTTTCAGATTTTCCCTGGTGAGTCTGTGTAAGAAGCCTTTTGCGTAAAAGAACAAAAGACTTACGCAAAAAGACTTTTGCGTAAAAGAACAAAAACGTGTTTTTTTGAAAGTTATGAGAACTTAGATTTTATAATTTTGGCTCTTTGTTCATGGTGGATGTTTCTGGGGTGAGTGCGATGAGAAGGTAAGAGAACTATCCATCCCAATTATAACCAGACACTCTCTGTTCCCTTTCAGAGTATATCCACCGCTTGAATCCATTTATCGACTCCGTTAGCTGGGATAACACCTAGAACGTGGCAGTAAGTTATTAAGAACCTTCTGCTTTCAAATGAACTCTTGAAGGTTCCTGCAGTTAAACCTCAATCTCTTTGCTGATTGCAAGACCTTTCCAGATAGCCTCACTATTTTTTCTCAGCTATAACTTGTGTGAGTGGATGTGGACCAACAAGGGAGAGATGGAGGGTAATCCAAAATGCCTAATATTAGTAGCCCATTGAGAACCTGATAGTCTGTTTACTGATTTGATTTTTGTTAATACTAATTTCAGGCTAGAGATTTGACCCTGAGGTTCTTACACACTTATTCTAGAACTGAGCTGTTCAACTGTTGTAGCCACTAGCCAGAAATGTGGCTAGTAGAACTGAATAACTGAATTTTAGTTCTATTTAATTTTAATTTAAAAACAATTCTGTGACTGGATAACTTCAAAGTATGTTTGGAAAACTTGAGTTATGTGAATCTACTTTTTCAACTGTAAATTTTTTGAAATCTAATTACAGATGGAATAGGGGCGCCTGGCTGGCTTAAGTTGGTAGAGCATGTGACTCTTGATCCTGGGGTCAGGGGTTCAAGCCCCACATTGGGTATAGAGCTTGTTTACTTGCTTACTTAAATACATACATACATGCATACATACAGATAGAGTATTTCTGATAAATTAGAATCTGAATTGAGATGTACTGTAAGAGTAAAATATACACAGGATTTCAGAGATTTAGTTTAAAAATGTACAATGCCTCATTGACAATTTTCATATTGATTAAAAGTTAAATGATAAAATTTTGCATAATTGGGTTAAGGAAAATATATTCTTAAAATGGATTTTACCTGTGATTTGTTTTTTTTTTACTTTTTAAAATAAGGCTAATAGGAGATTTAATCTTATACGTGTGGTTTGCATTATATTTCTATTAGACAAGGCTGTTCTAGGCTCTGCCTGGCCACCGCTTATTAAAAGTCTCAGAATGAGAATGTAATTGTTAGCTAAAGTATTTCTATTTCATTGCCTATTGTTTAATCAAAGGGAAAGAAGAAAGTCACTGGTGCTGTCTTTCCTCCAAATGCGGTTTAGTTAAGAAAGAAGTCCCCCTGTTCATGTGATATAACCTATATTATATATGAACAGTCACTGTGTCACGCCGTCTCTGCCCTCTGTGTTTGCCTCGAGCACGTCCTGCTTCCTCCTGGCTTGTCCGTGTGACATACTCTTATTCTTCAAAACCTGCTTTTCCCTGACAACCTGAGAACAGATCAACTTGTCCTTTTTCATAAGAGTTCTGTGCTTATACATATTCTATTTAGATTTCCACTCTTCTGCTCTGCCCTTTCTCCGGCTGATCTCTAGCACCTCGCACATTACCTGTTAGGCTGGCAAAAGTGTGTTTGTTGACTTGAACTGAAAATAAAACTTACTCTGTTTTGTCCTCTGAGATGTTGCTTGCAATTTTCATCATCCCTCAGGTAAATTATAAGGGTGTATAAAATGACAGTGAAAGCTTTTCACCAGCAAATTTCATGTTTCTAAAAACCACATTGAATGGAAAACCAGTGTGGTTCCTATAGAAATTGTTGCAGTTCTTTTCCTTTGGATTTTCTCTTATAACTGGAAAAAATAAGAAATGTTAGAACACAAGCTACTTAAAAATGGTACTGATAATAGCAAGCAGTAGGGAGAGCAGATTTAATTTCGAAGATCAGCCTGGTATCGAATCTTGAGAAGTCGGATGGGTCCTGGCATTCCAGTTAGCATTGGCTGTGGTTGGGTCACCACTTTTGTTTATGGTGGGAAGTCTGGTTTCTATTAGAATAGAATAGAATAGAATAGAATAGAATATTCTATTAGAATAGAATATTGTGGGCCAATGTTTATTAGGAAAGTCATCCATAATACTTTTCCAGCAAATCACCTGTACATGGAGTTGCCCATGGGAGAAACAGATCGATTCCAAATCTATTCTTGCAATTTGGAATGTGTGCCTGGTCACTTTCTCTTTGGAGTCCATTTTAAAAATTCACTCTTGGTGTATATACCCTTTTGGTTTTTTTCTCCTGTTTGGCAGTCAGAGAGGCCTCTTGTTGAAAACAGTTTTAACAGTTTTGTGGCATGACCATCTGGGAGTCCCTTGCAGAATGAGGTTTATTCATGCAGAATAGCCTATATTTTAAATCACCCCATCCCACATATATACTGAATATTTGGTGAAATTGATCTGGCCCTTTTTTGCATAATGTATCAACAGAAAAACTGCATAAATATCATTTTTGTAATAAAGATTAATCATATTGTTTTCTCAGTTTGAGAAATTACTGTGCCTTTTTGTAACCTCTTGGTTGTTTTTTATGCATGTGCATTCTTGAGTTCCTTTTGTAAGGATTGTACTGAGTTTTGGAGCTGGGAGATTTTCCTTCCCTGGCCAGTTCTCTTTCCTCATCTCATTTCGAAAATGATTATTGAGTACTGCTGTGTGCCAGCCACTGATCTAAGGGCTTCATCTGCATGAATCTGCTTCACTATTACAAGAACCCTCTATTCCTTCCAGTCTGTGGGGGAGGGGCCTGTGGCTGAAGGCTGGGAAGTGTCTCTCCGAGGCTGCACAAGGGATCTGGCGTCTAAGCCCAGGTAGTCTGGACACTCAAACCCTGTGCGGGCCATCACTCACAATGGATGTGACTGCTCCCCGCCAGGAGATTTAAAGGTGGCCGAACATTTGGAAAGATTTTAGTGGAGTAGAGAGACAACAATTCCCCTCCGCCACACACACCAAATACCAACCTTTTCCAAACATTTTTGGATTGTGTTATAAGCTCCTCAAAGGCAGGGATCATGTCACTTGTCTTTTATCCCCAGCACCCAGCAGGGACCTTGCATTTACTGTTTGTTCCCAAACACATTTAGATTTCGGGTTGTGGGATGGACGATGGTCATAGAATCCCCTCGAGCGGTAGCCTTAGCCAGGGAATCCATCAGAGGTTAGGAGCTAAGAGCTGCTCTGTACTACATTGTCCCTTGCTTTTACTTCACTCCTTCACCAGTTTCCATGGAAAACCTTCTAAACACCACTACTGTACTGTCTCTAGGCAAAGTTTGTTCTTGAGTCTCCCCCACCCCGCTTCGGATTATTTGTCTGTGGGGAGGAGTAGGGGTGATCAGCACACAATAACAATAATACAGATGTAAATGGGATCCTGAGTTGGCCTAGACAACTTGCCTTGGTTACTCAGCTCATTTAATTTTTTTTTTTTTTAAGTACTCTCTATGCCCAAAGTGGGGCTGGAACTCATGACCCT